GATTTTTCCTTTGAGACCAATAATTCTTGGTAGTTATGAGCTAAGATACTAAAAATCAAAGCAATAAAAACCTCAGGGATAAAGATACTATCAGTTGGTTAATAAACCAGTCAGTGACTTTATTTATGCCCACCTTTCCTTTCCAAGACCCAGACACAAAGTCTCCTATGTATAAAAGAAATACAAGTAAAACTTAAAACTTTTAATAATTAAAAATATTTGAAAATTAAAATAGTATTAATAACTGTAGAGTAGCAACCATTGAAAACATTAAAACCATAGAATCAAAGTACTGCACACAATTTTTTTTAGAAAGTTCTGTAACAATCAGTTTTCTAACACTTACAGGACTTGGGCTATCCTCAAGAGCTGATCAGGATAGGGTGACTTAAAAGTCTGTCATTCATAGAGGCACCGTAAGTTGAAGTCAACTTACAGGGTTCGACTTATAGTGACATGGCAACTTAAACTGGAAGATTAAAAAATAGAGATAGCGGGTAACTGGCCTAACTTTTCTTGGAAGGAATTCCCACAGTCTGAGTAGCCACAGACATCTTATTTTGGTCACATATCAAGTGTGCCTATGAAGTAGTGGGATAAAGAGAAGCATCTCTCTTTGAAGATCACAGCTCTTGGGAAGACTTGGCTAGGAAGCTACAGGATGCAAACAGATCTTATAGCACACTTGAGAATAACAGAAAATGAAATTGGTACCATATTTTTTCATAGACTAACGCTACTTTGGATTGCATCTGAGGAAACTGACTTAGGTCCCATATACACTACCTATTTAGGTCAGTGTGATGTCAGCTCAGCCCTCAAGTAGCTATATAATGCATGGGGTTGATCCAGCTTAAACCGAGGAGGCTATGTTAATACAGGGGAAAATCTACCTCCTGAAGCAGGAGCTGCGTTCTCTTTTTGGGGAGATGGGCGGGATATAAATAAAGCTATTATTATTATAAAACTATTATTATTCTCTTCCAAGTTAGGACCTATCCTAAGCAGAACTGGTGGCTGCAGCTGTCCTGAAATATACTCCATGCTCCATGGGCTCAGATGACCCAGGAACGTGGGATGTCTGTCCCCTCTGCCCACTCCCCTTGTATCACTGCTGATAACAGTACCGAGAAGGATGCCTATCTGATGCTTGGCCCCCCCTTCCTTCTTCCACATTACTTGACTCATGAAGAAGGTTGGGAGGAAGGAAAGGAAGATTCGCCCTCCCTCCTCCTTCCAGCCACGTTAGTGGGTCACTTGATATGGAAGAAGGAAGACAGGCCACTTACGATCACATAGGTGAAATGTCTTGTTGATGTAGCTAGTAGTAACATGGGGAGAGATGTGTGTGGGAGGTTGGCACCTGCCCAGCAGTGTTGGATTGGGTTCAGTGCAGCTGGGCAAAGGGAACTCCCTGCAACTGCCAAGACAGCTTGGGTAGTCTCTGTTGGTCACAAAGCAGTCTGGAACTGGCATCTCAGATACCATTTCCAGCCTGCTTTGTTTGTCTATGGATATGAAAGTTTAAGCCTTGTCTTACACACCTGTGTTTTTGAATTCTATCCCCATGGGTAACGATAGTTCATCAATATACTGGGACTAGACTGGATCCTTTTCTCCCCCTGGGAGAGACATATTAGAAAGTCGCTGTTTGGGATCAGAATTTGTTTTGGAAGGGGAATTTTGGGTGGAAAATGAATGATAGATAAGCGGTTAATTCATCCCCATTCATGCTTTGAAGCTGATTTTGGCTTATATAAAACACATGTCAGCACAACCAAGAGGGAAGTCCATTTAATATGTAGCTTGAGCTGAAGACATCAAATGAAGCCTTTAATTTTCCTGACACATGGACCATGTCTAACAAAATATTATTTACACCTGCAATAACATTTTTTCTGCCTCTGCTTTCAAAGATGGGAGAATGGAGGTTGCAGTATAGCATAGCTACTAGCTAGATTTTATTTATTTATTTACCCTATTTATATCCTGCCTTTCTCAACCCAGAAGGGGACTCAGGGTGGCTTTACATATAGGCAACTATTCAGTGCCTTGAAACAACATACAATTAAAATAAACACATTAGTTAAACATTTAAATTAATGCACATTAACATTGCATTCACTATTAAAAATTAGATTACTTGCCACACTGCTTTGCGAGAGCCTATGTTTGATATAGTAGTGTTGTGCTTGAAAACAGAAAACTATTAAGTTATTGTACTCACTCCCTATTGTTCAAACAGTGGGTACTTTTGAAAAAAAAAACCTTTCATTTAAAAAGCCTTTAATATACAGGTTGAGAAGATATTCTAGGGTCAGCATATAGAAAGAAAATATTCAGGTTTAGGAAATAAAGGGAAACTTTGGTGGGCCAGAAACGACTAGGTGTCTTGCATTGTCTATTCCACTTCTCATAGGTTAAACTGACAATAAAAAATGACAACGTACCTAAAATAGCAAGTTCTATGTCATCTTGTCTTAACGTTGAAAAGAGAAACCTTAGATCTTTCATTATCATGATGGCACATGATTGACATGATTATGAGTCAGGTTCTGCAAAGCAGCTACCCCCATTGTCCAGGGAATGTTTAATGGAGGATTGGCTGCTCTAGATATCCAAAATGTGAGTCAGACCCATCTTCCAAGTATAACACTGAAACCATTCAGCTGGATAAAGAGTATATGGTTCTCAAATGGAAAGATATGTTAGGTTGTTGCCGTAAAAGCAGAAAAACACCTGTTGCAGTTTAAAGATTGCCACTTTCACAGAATATACCCCACTTCATTAGTAGTAGTAAGTATGTAAGCATACGTATTAGAAGGCAGACATATTAGAAAGTCGCTGTTTGGGATCAGAATATGGAAATAGGGGGTATCTCAATTATTATTGCTATAGATATGTTTCTTGTAAATCCATAACGCGCAAATGAACAATTTTGGCTTTAGAAAGTTAAAGAGGAATGTCTGAAGTCTTGAGAAAGACATTAACATTATTGTCAGCATGCTTCAATTTAAGGAGGTCAGCAACACTGAGATGAAGATAACAATTCTGCATCTAGAGAATAGATATCTTGAAACTTTTTCAGTTAATAAAACATATTCTTGTTGTGAATTATTATCTACTATAAGGGAGTTAAGGCATCTGATTTATTGGAACAAATAGTAATAAAAGAACATTGTGAACCGAGGGAGCATAGAATACTGGATATGTTGTCCTTGTTCGCTACAACTCAAAAATACTTCATACGTTTAGATAAATATACAAGGAAAGATATTGGATGGTGTTATGGGAAGTACATAGGGATACAAAATCTGAATCTGTCTTTTATATATATCTGAACTGAATTAATTAGTTGATAATCTACTAAAACTGGATCAAAAGGTAAAGAATAAAAACTTTTTCTAACAATGTAATGAAGAAATGTTTGTCCTGCTTGTCTAGTGCTGATGGATTTGTACATTTTCCATTTGTACACCCTGAGGATGTGAACAGAATCCTTGCAGAGCTGAGAACTACCACATGTCTTCTAGATCCTTGCCCCTCTTGGCTGATCAAACAGACTAGAGGGAACTGGTTGAAGGGGTGAAGGATGTGGTCAATGCTTTCTTAGAATGTCCGAAAGGAGGCAGTTGTGAGGCTACTTGACAGACCATATCTCCCAATACAAACCTGCCCAGGCCCTGAGAGCCTCAGGAGAGGCCCTTCTCTTAGTCTCACATCCATCTCAAGCATGGTTGGTGGGGACGCAAGAGATGGCCTTCTTGGTGGCTGTCCCTAATCATTGGAACTCTTTGCTATCATAAGTCATTTTTTATTTATGACGATCCTAATCGAAACCACCATAGGGTTTTCTTTGCAATATTTGTTCTGAGCAGGATTGCCTTTGTCCTCCAATGAAACTATGACTGTGTGACTTGCCCAAGGTCACCCAGTGGTTTTCCATGGCTAAATGGTCTGCAGGTCCATAGCCAAGATTTCGATTCAAGGGGGGGGGGTGAGTTTGTTTCGGGGGGGGGGGCTGAGTTTGAGTGAAAGAGGGTCTACCCTAGCAAACCTTTTGTATCATTACCCCAATACCCCCATGCATATGGGATATATTGAGTAGGGTGATCAGATCATGATATGAATAAACATAACAGTTTAAATAATGCACCAGTAAGGCCAAGGCCTTTTCGCGAACAACCATGAGAATTTCGGGGAGGGGGTGAAGCCCCCCAAGCCCCCCCCCCGGCTACATGCCTGATGGTCTGTATTCTTATCGGCAGCCTCCAGTCCACTGTAGAACCAAGAGAGAGTCCCAACCATACAGCGTCACTGAACCCCTTATTTTGATGGGGCAGAAGGGAGCAGGAAGGAAGGCATTGCCCCTTCCTTTCCCCATCCCTTCTCCCCTATTGCTCCACTGCCTCAGCTAACATCATGTGTATCACCAAGGGAGGACCACCATCCATTTCAAGGCTGGGGGCACAGCACTAGATTGGTTGGCTGGAGGAAGCTAAGAGTGGTCATCCAGTGTTTCCCTTCTCCCTCTGCAATGTCCTAGGCAATATTCTGTGTCCCTGGGCCAAACTGCCAGGGAACAAGGGATTGCTATGAAAACAGCTGCGGCTGGTTCCTTCTTGGAACTGACCCAACTGTTTACATGGCCCTGAAGTCATGGTTTGCTTCAGCTTCTCCAGAGCAATCTAGAACATTTGTTAATGTGGTTCATGGCCACGTTGATCCAAATCAGCTCCATTCATCATATTGCTGCCATGTAGCTGATTCCCCGCCCTCCCCACAGCCCCCTTGGGGATAAGATGTGCCCATTATCTTCTGGGAAACAATCTGTAACAATAGAGCATTTAGTGGGGTAATAGTTCTATTATGACTCTTTGCTAGTAACAATAGGTCATGTCACATTTGGTCCAGAACTGAAAAATACAGGATGGGAATGTATGAAAGAGAGGGAGAGAAATTAACCCAAATTCATACAGGCTTCCTAGACAGAAAATTACCTTTCAGCAATGCTGTCAAAATAGCCAGATCAATGTCTTGATGTCCTTCTGATCCCATGCGAAACACTGTAATCTGAAATACAAAAATCAATTATATTTTTGGAGACAGTTTTCCTCACAGTATAGTACTTAAAATATAAGCACAATGCCATTGGATCAGTGAAGAAAATACAGCCAGCCCTTCACATTTGCAGGTTTGGCTTCGGTAGATTTGACTATAATGTTTTCTCTAGAAATCTCTAGGTCTTCCAGATGAAGTTGAGTGCAAAGCCATGCAGGAGGACCTAGAGATTCTTAGGGAGGTGTTCTCTCACGTTAAAAAAAAGCTTTTTTAATCATGGTTTTTCCACATCCATGTCGGTCCTAGGTTCCTAATCCAAGGGATTACAAAGAGCTAAGTGCATAGTCATTTCGGTATAATCCAGAAGTTATTTTTGGACTTTTTTTGTCATGTCAGGAGCAACTTGAGAAACTGCAAGTCGCTTCTGGTGTGAGAGAATTGGCTGTCTGCAAGGATGTTGCCCAGGGGATGCCCGGAAGTTTTTGATGTTTTTTAATCATCTTTGTGGGAGGCTTCGCTCATGTCCCCACATGAGGAGCTGGAGCTGATAGAGCATGGGTCCTCAAACTTTTTAAACAGAGGGCCAGGTCACAGTCCCTCAAATGGTTGGAGGGCCGAATTATAATTTGAAAAAATCATAAATTAATTCCTATGCACATTGCATATATTTTATTTGTAGTGCAACCCCCCCCCTAGTTTAAAACAATACAATAATTAAAATGAAGAACAAGTTTAACAAATATAAACTTATTAGTATTTCAATGGGAAGTGTGGACCTGCTTTTGGCTGATGAGATAGGATTGTTGTTGTTCTTGTTGTGTGCTTTCAAGTCCTTTCAGACTTAGGTTGACCCTGAGTGAGGGCCGGGTAAATGACCTTAGGGGGCCATATCCGGCCCCCGGGCCTTAGTTTGAGGACCCCTGTGATAGAGGGAGCTCATCCGAGCTCTCCCTGGATTTGAACCTGTGACCTGTTGGTCTTCAGTCCTGCCGGCACAGGGGTTTAACCCTCTGCACCACCGGGGGAGGGGGGGGGCTCCTATTTTTGGGACTGCAAATAAGGGAATCCTGCAACAGATCAGGCAATTACCATGCTGACTGTGTGATCCCTGAAGTGGCAAAGTAACTTTTCTAATCTCTGATGCAATGTCGAGGCTTGAAGGGTGCTTAAACAGGGACATGTTGAGGACAAACAGAATTGTGTAGAATTAACGTAACTTAGAATTTCAAGGCTGGATATTGCAGCAAGGATGGGAGAAGCAAGCAGACCAGGAATAAAGATACAATGGAGCCAGAGGAGTTTGAAGTTTCAGAACTGAAAAGGAATATTTATTTGTCTATTTTCAGTCCTGCTTTCCTACCGCAATAAGGAATAAACTATTATGGTGCTTAACTCAGAGGGATTCCCTTTCCTTAGCAATTCTAGAGAGCAAGTGGTTAAAAAACAGTGCATTCCGTCTCAGGAAGCCACTAACAGGGCAGTGACCTAATTTTGCTGTGAAAATGTCATCATGATTTGCATCCCTTGTCGCCAATTAGGAAATAATTTATTGCTGCTGCCCATCTCTTCCAACACTATAAAGGTAACATTTTCCATTTGAAAAAAATGCATTATTTAAGCCTCTGTAAAGAACAATAAAATTGCAACTGATGACAAAAACTGGAAAGCCATGGGAAAAATTATCAGGTACATATTGTTCTGTCATTACTGAACAAATGAATATATGCCAAATAATCCCCTAAGGAGACAGCATGCATCTTTGAGTCGGAGGCTGCCAAGCCTGAAAACACAGGATAATTATTACCTAGTACGATAACAGGAATGAAATATTGGAATTGTATGTTACTATAAACCGCTTTGGTGATGGTTAGCAGCCACCTAGAATTAAGCCTGTTCACACAGGATCAACAGAATTGCCGTGGCAACCAGCCTGATATTAATATTTTCTGCTTTGTCATCAACCAGCTTAAAACTGGCAAGGGATTTGCAAGATATGCAGATAAAAGACATGGTCTCCCTGACAAAAGCCTCCAGCCCCTCTTTCTTGTTGGTGTTTGTGCTACAGCAGGAAAAGTTTAGTGAATGGCTGACCTCAATAACCATTTATCAATCATCTGTATAAACAGATAATCATACTCTATACACACTGTACATAAAAGGAAAAGATCTTAAACCAAGTTTCATTATTCTGATACAGCTTTTTTTTTTTTGCTGGAGGACATTCGATAGCCAAACAAGCTGTCAGAATTTAAAACAGAATTAAAAACCTATCTCTTCTGACAAGCCTATCCAGTCAATTTTAAACTATGAATTTTAAATGCACATTTATGGGTATGCATTATTATAATGTTTAAAAATCTTTCTTATGTCTTTTAATATATGCATTTCAATGGTTGTGCACATGTGTGTGTGTGTATGAATATACGAAGGTCTAGTCGTGTCCAACTCTGGGAGGTGGTGCTCATCTCCATTACTAAGCCGAAGAGCCGGCATTGTCCATAGACACCTCCAAGATTATATGACTGCATGGAGCACTGCTACTGTCCCACAGAAGCATTGCCTATTGATCTATTCACATTTGCATGTTTTCAAACTGCTAGGCTGGGAGAAGCTGGGGCTCACAATGGGAGCTCACCCCTGCTCCCAGATTCGAACCACCAACCTTTTGGTCAGCAAGTTAGCAGCTCAGTGGTTTAACTGCACCACCAGGGAGGCTACATTATAGATAGATAGTAGGCTTGGGCGGTTTCGTTCGTTAATTTCGTAATTCGTTATTAATTCGTATTTAAATTAGCTTACGATCCAATATTGAGCCATGCAGGAATAGTGTGAGGAGTAAATTAGATTCGAAACAATTTTTTCAATTTATTTCATAATTATTTTGTAATTATTTTGTAATTATTTCGTAATTATTTCGTAATTATTTTCGCATGTCTGGTGCAAGTTTTATAGTTGTTGTTTGTTTTATCACACCAACAGTCAACAACAGAGGGAGAGGGAAGCTTCAGAAGTTCCCCCTGTCCCATTTGGAGGTTTTTTTAGCATATTGCGCAATCACATCCGCCATTAACGAATCGATTATTATTATTATTATTGATATTTAGTTTTGTAGTAGTAAGAGATTGAGATGGGGGGAATACCGGATTAAATATACCGAACAGCATGCAAAAATAAGTTATGGACTGGGGTGAAAGTTGATCTCCCTGCTGAATGTATCAAGAGCTTCACTATATATGTGCATCCTTCCTCTTTTTAGATATAAAAAGGACTTTAAATGGCATTTCCAGGACCTTATAACGGTATTATATTATTTTGTATGATGCTCTGGTCAGCACTTCAGCTGTTGCATTTTGCATTAGCTATAGATTTTCAGATGTCTTAAACGCCAGTCCTACATAAAATTTACTATGGTAGTTTGAGAAGTTACCAATGCATTTCAATGGAATCATGGAACACACACACATCCTGAAAGACAACATAATAATTTACTGTACCATAAGTGAATTAGAGGTTGCACTGAATTGCAAGTTTCTCTCTCCCCCCCCCCCCCCCCCGGTACAATTTATACCAAAGAGCAGATGATAATTCAAATATAATTTCATTTTATACTCTTTTACAGCTGATATCCTTTACAGTAAGCCAATCGATATTAAATTGTGGATTAAACCACTGAAAGAGAAATAATGGTTCATAACAGTAGGAAACAATATTATTCAGTCATATTCAGATGGATCCGGACACTATTGTACAACTATATTAACATGGATCCTCAACAAAAATAATACATTGGATTGATTGTGCTTGTAATAATGTGGCTTGAGCTGCAGATTATATATCTATATCTGTATCTATATCTATATATCTCAGTGTGTGTGTGTGTGTGTGTGTGTGTGTATAAATAGTAGTATAATTTCATTTGGCAACCAGAAGTTCATCCACAGGAGATGTTTGCATTGGTTTGGTGCTACTTAATTAACTGTATTTTTTCCTATTGATTCTAAGGGCAGATCCACACAGCATGCAGAGCGCGCATACTCCCGGATATTCGTGGAGGGCATCCAAATGATGATCCACGAAATCCTGGGTACTTTTGCCACAAAACAGAAAAACTCTGCTTTGTGGTGAGATTACTTGTCAGTGGGTTTATTCCGCGCCTTCTTGGAAGGTACAGGGCAAACCCACTATGGCCGCTGTCTGGACTGGACAATCAGAAGTCCTGGGACTTCTGAAGGGGCCGTTTGCACAGCCGTCTCACATTTTCCAGGCTGAATCAGACCCCAGGAAATGTGAGAGGGCTCTAACTCCCTCCTCAAACTCCTTTAAAAAGCGTTAAAAAAATCAAAATTACTTACGGGGCTGACATTTCCCTTCTGGCATCTCGTCTCTCTCCTGGTGTTTAGGAATGATGCGCCAGGAGAAGGGGAGGAGGAGGAAGATCACTCCTGCCCCCCCCTTTTCTGGTGCTTCACTTCTAAGCATCAGGAGAAGGATAGGCAGAAGGGAAATATTGGCCCCGTAAGTGATTTTCTTTTTTATATGCTTTGAAAAGGTGTTTGGGGAGGGAGTGGGGGTTGTCTCCCTAATCTCCCGGTAGGTACCAGGAAAACATGTAGAAAATACCCTGGGTTGGCGCAGACTTTTCTGCTGTGTGGAACCGCCCTCAGTCACCTTGAGTGTTATTCTTGGGAGAAAGTTGGGATGTTGTTATTAATATTATATTGCCTTCTTCTATTCTAAAAAAAAGGTAAAGGTAGTCCCCTGACATTATGTCCAGTCATATCTGACTCTGGGGTGTGGTGCTCATCTCCATTTCTAAGCCGAAGAGCCAGCGTTGTCCGTAGACACCTCCAAGGTCATGTAGCCGGCATGACTGCATGGAGCGCCGTTACCTTCCCACTGGAGCAGTACCTATTGATCTACTCATATTTGCATGTTTTCGAACTGCTAGTATGGCAGAAGCTAGGCCTGCAGCGGAAGCTCACACCGCTCCCCGGAATCGAACCTGCGACCTT